ATTGTACAGTGGCATTAAGTGCCGTAAAGTGCACCTCTGCCTACCCCTTCGGGGATAAAAAGGCGTGATGTTATGTTATGTTACTATGTAGGCTTTACTTTCTCTTATGTGATCCGGACCAAAATTTTCTCCAGAGTCGTAAGGCACGAGCCTTATCCCATAAAAATAGTCACTTCAATTATTGGAGTCAGTTGATCCTCTTAGTTGTCTTCTTATATAAGTTTCATTCGACAACACCTCTGGCCTGGTTTTTTTTTATTCCGCGGTCCATATCGTCTTCTGCGGACCACCGGTTGGGGACTACTGCTATAGGTTAATGTATTTTGTAGTGTCGTGGTGTCGTGGAGGTTTAAGAAGCCCGCTTCTCATGCATGAGTGTGCGGGTTCGAAACCTACCAACGGCAAGTGCCAATGTGACTTTTTCCGAGTTATATGTACTTTCTAAGATTATCTAGATACCACTGACAAACGGTGAAGGAAAAATCGTGAGGAAACCCGGGCTTATAATTTCTAATTATAAGTTTAGAATCGCCAACCCGCATTGAGCAAGCGTGGTGATTAATGTTTAAACCTTCTCCGTGTGAGAAGGTTTTGCTCAGCAGTGGGCATTGATGATGATTCTGTATGGCTTTATGATTCTTCTATTATAATCAAAGTATGATTGTAATATATATTTTTCACATTTGTTCGATCTCTCGTTAAAAATAATAAAACAGTTACTTGATTCAGCGTTTGGAATAATAATCTTATTATCAACCTTCAAACTTAATAAAATAATACAACTTTAGTTTGATATTTTTCGTTATTTTTGTTTATCCAGAAAACATGGCCTTGGTTAGAAAATATACTGTAGATTACTTAGCAAAGTAAAACAATAATTTAGTTGTGAATATGTTTATCTGTCACCTAATTTACCACCTTTGGGAGTAAGATACATACACTTTACAGTTTAACAACAAACTCAATTCTACCTACAAATACAAAACCGGTACATTCGCACTCCTAATTACACCTCTGTCTATTATCCCTAAATAAATAGGTGTGATGTTAAAAGATAATGAGCGTATCCAAATTGTGGGGTGCGTTTCATGTTAAGTGCTCCATTTTGTAACGCAAGACAGATTTAATAAACATTTGAAAGGTTCTTAACTATTTTCACTTTGTGTTTTAAAAGCTTTTACTCGCGTTAAATAAATTATTACATACTGAATTGTATTTCGCGTCGAGATGGCCCGGAGGTTTAAGACGCCCGCTTCTCCTTCTCATGCATGAGAGCGCGGGTGCGGAAGATACCAACGGCAAGCACCAATGCGACTTTTTCCGAGTTATATGTATGTACTTTCTAAGATTATTTAGAAACCACTGACAAACGGTGACGGAAACATAGTGAGGAAACCTGGGCTATTTCTAATTGTATAGTTTAAAAGCGCCTACCCGCATTGAGCAAGCGTGGTGATTAATTTTCAAACCCTCTCTGTGTGAGAGAGCAGTGGCTACTTGTAGGCTGATGATGATGATTTTGAATTGTATTTCAAATACATTTCGTCTATGCCTAGCGTATCCTATGATTAATTAGGTGTCCATTAATCAACGTAGGGGTTTACTTATATAAAAATATACAAACGTGTAAAACAAATTATAATAATCATTAATCAGTTTTACCTTTTAATTCGTTAATTCGATGTTTTGAGTAGAGTTAGTTAACAATAAGTTTTACTTAAAAGAATGCACATATCCTAATGCAATAAGATTCAAATGAATCCACGGTTAGTTACAAGAAATCAAATTAATACGGATCCGATTAACCATTTTGATTTATTAGTAAATTAGTTGCATAATTTATTTGTCTTCTCTATTCAGTAGATAAAGCGTGAAAATGTAACAGGTAAACTTACTTATAATATCTGACTGATATTATAAATGTATATAATAATGGATAAAGAAGAAGCATTTATTTGACAGTTAGGCACGCATATAAAATAATAAATGACAAATCATGAGTGTCTGTATTTACAAATATTTCTTAATAAATTATTCTCCGTTGTCCAGGGTATGTGCTACTTACATGGCGGGCTGGGTGCGCACGGCAAGTTACGTTCCTCAAACTGCCTCATCGATGGACGCTTCGTGCTGAAGATCTCCGACTATGGCCTCAACACGCTATGCACACCAACCGACCTAATAAAGGACGACACATATTATTACAGTAATTTAATATTATAATTTTATTAACTTTACATAGGTTTGGAATGCTGTTAAATCATACTGCATGTAATAGTAGATTTTTTGTGGATGATATTTTACAGATCATTATTTTTTATTAGCTAGTTTGCAGCCAGCTATCTTTACTAGCCGGTTTTGTCGCACGGATTAGTGTCTCAGCGATTTTTTTTGTTGCTCAGTAAAGATGAAAGTTTATAATTATAAAAGAAAGAACCTTTGAATCGGTTCAGTAGTTTTGTGTGGAAGCATTACAAACATACATACAAGTGTGGGAGAGCCATGCTTCGGCACGAATGGGCCGGCTCGACCGGAGTGATACCACGACCTCACAGAAAACCGACGTGAAGCAACGCTTGCGTTGTGTTTCGTCGTGTGGGTGAGGTTCCGGAGACCCAATTACCCTCCCTTTCCCCAATCTCCCCAATTCCTGAATGCCCAACGATCCTCAAACTCCTAATTCCCAAAAGGCCGGTAACGCACTTGTAACGCCTCTGGTGTTTTAAGTGTCAATGGGCGATGCCAATTGCTTACCATCAGGTGTTCCGTCTGCTCGTTTACCGGCTTATGATATAAGCATAAATGTTTCCTCTTTATAATATTGGTAAAGATTAAAATAGATTAGCTTATTTTTACAACATTATACGTAGGCACAATGCAAAAAGAATTTCTAGAAAAATAAAAAAATTATTTATCGACCGTATTTGATTCAAGTAAGCGGTCTGTGGTGCTAATCAAATTAGTGAGTTTGTGAATTAAGTCTAATTCAATATCTTTAGTGCTTGCGTATATTAAATGATAGGCAGACTGTGTAAAATAAACAACTGCATTAGTATAATGCTATTTGTTTAATCAGCACTAGTGATTATAAAGAACAGAGATGAATTGTGTAATTGACAAAAATAAAACCAAATGCCAGAGATTGGAATTATAGCACATAATGTACCAACTAAAAGTAACTTAAAATATGTGACGTCATTACACTATAAACTACTTTGAAAACGTACCCTGCGTCGTTGTTATTGAGATTTAATTTCCAGAATTACTATGGACGGCTCCAGAGCTGGTGGCCAGCAGCATATACCCTGGTGCTGCGGCTTCCCTCAAAGGAGATGTGTACAGCTTCGGCATTATACTTGAAGAGATAGTCCTGAGAGCGGGACCCTTCCATAATTATACCACTTCTATGTCTAGTAAAGGTTAGTGTTATTTTTTTTTCTTTCTTTTTTTAATTTTTTTTGGTAAAATATAATGAAAAATAAGTTTAAATGTTTGATTATGTGTAAATTGAGTGCATGGTAGGAGCGGTGGCATCTGGCTGCCGCGCAACGTGTCGCAGGGTCGATTCCCGCACGGAACAACTCTTTGTGTGATCCACAGGTTGTTGTTCCGGGTCTGGGTGTCATATGTATGTGAACTTGTATGTTTGTAAAAGCATCCATGACACAGAAGAAAATGCGTGGGGCAACGATTAATAAAAAATATTTTAATATTCATTCAATATATAAAAAAATTATAATAGATAAAAAAATTACTTACCCGGGTACTTATCTCTTGTTCGACCCAGAGACCTTTAAAGGTGTATAAGATATTGTCACATATTGTTATAATCCTTATCATTCTTCATTTATTAATTCTAGAAATAATAAACAGATTTGATATGATATACTGAAAACCGTATTTCGTTACGTGGTCACTTTCCCTTTACACCCACAATTTTCCAACCAGCCACATTCACTTTAAAAAAAAAAACAAGTATCAGCTTTTTCAGGCCTTGAAGCTTTTGCTTTTAAATGGAATGTGACGGCTGAGCAGTTGTTTTGTAGGTCACTGCAAACTGTAATGGAACAACTTTTATTTATATTGTTTATGCTTTCACGGCTGAGCGGACAGCTCTGTCGGTAGTTCTTGCATTCATTGCGAGTTTACGACTACATATTTTGTTCATTTAATTATGAATAGTAGGCTGTTTGTAAGGAAGTTTCCATTGCTATCCCATCTAGTATTATGAATGTTGTTTTTTATATTTATTAAGATTTAGGTGTAGGTAGCCATGAATCGGCCGGCTCGACCGGAGTGATACCACGGCCTCACAGAAAACCAACGTGAAGCAACGTTTACGCGCTGGTATATTTTATTATATACCTCTACCTCACGATAGCGATGAGGAAAATATTTATTACTTTTTTGAGGTGTAAATATTTTAATTATTTATATTTTAATTTAAGTTGTATATATTTATTTAATTTAAATTCTATTAATAAAGTAATGTTTACGAAATATAATACCCTCAGTGCATAAAAAAATAATATATTTATTCTTATTATGTGGTTAGGTTATTATTTGGTACCTAATGTAGAATGTTTAGAATTTTACACACAGTTAATGAATGTAAGAGTATTATGTTCTGAAATTTACAAATTGGTATTAGTCTTGAATATTAAACCTTGTCTAACTAATCATTCACAAAAGACAAAAGTCTTAGCACTAGTAATTTATTATTGCGTAGGTGCTACGGCGTAGTAATAGTACTACGAGCTATTTTTGCTACGAAATCCTACGATGACAAACATGAAAATCGACTAAGCTTATGTCACTAAAGTTGAATATGAACTCAATCACAAGTGTTTGAGATTAAATATCAAGTAATTTCTTCATATTATAAATAATTTACTAAATGATGAACATAAATGAAAATTCATTACAACAAAGTTTATTTAACAGGGAAGTTTAGTACAAACTCATCAGAATTCTGAAAATATTTGTCGAGGTTTTAAAGCAAACAAATGCTACTACTTAATTAATTTTATCATCCCACTGAATAAACATACATATAACAATGGACAAAGGATTTTTGGCCACAAAATGGCTAAACTCGATCGTCTAAAAAAGCTGTCGTTTTGTACGTTGGCGTTTGTATAAATATTGAATAAGGTTAATTCACTTTTATAAAATTATTTATTTGTGACAACGCAGTAAACATTTTATCGAACTTTATATATACACATTTATGTAACATCACGCTTTTTACCTCCGAAGGGGTAGGCAGATGTGCATATCACAGCACTTAATGCCACTGTTAAACTTTATGTTGTTTTAAAATGAGTAATTTTCTTTGCTAATAGATTTCTTTTTAAACTACGTTTTTCGTGTACATTTATTATATTGGAACACATTGTACCTATATTGTAAAGGATAATAAAATATTTCAATTATAATGAAATTTAATCCACCACGTGGTACTGCACTGATTTAGTAACACAACGAACGTGCTTAAACCTCTATTACCTCGTTATCACTTTTTTTATTTGCTTTATTTATCGTGCGTTATATATATCGTGTGTGCTATAGCGTTGCTCCTTTGTATATTTTTGTGATTGAATGAAAGGCCGGCTTCTTCAACGTCACCTAAATTCTATAGAATCTATGACCTAATATATCTATCAAGTTTTTATTTTTTTATGAAATAGGAGGCAAACGAGTAGATGGATCACCTGTTGATGAGCGATCAGCGCCGTAAACGATATAAGTGATCATAAACTACATTAAAAAAGCCGACTTCAACCCCTTCATTTTTAAAGTCGGTTAATTAATAATATCCACATCAAAAATGGGTCAGCCAATCCCGAGATAATCGTGTACAAACATAAATACATACAGGTCAAATTGAGAACCTACATTTTCTTGAAGTTGGTTAAAAAGGCGACACTTAACGAAATTTTGTTTTACACCGTTCTATACCTAAGTGAAACTTAATAGTACAAGTACGGATACCTTTAGGTACTTACTCACGCTAAGTAATTCCAAAGAGTTCTTAATCTATTAGACTGCATCATCGCTTACCATACCACCATGCGAAATAGTGGTCAAACGTCGGCACATCAAATATAAAAAAAAAGATGGTTTAGCGGTGGTTGGAAGAAATGGTCCAATAAACCGTTTCACTTAAAGATTTGGTAAAAACTATTAATTTCTATATAAACAGAAATAGTTGGCCACGTGTGCGCCCGAGAGTCCCCACCATTTCGACCAGTTGTCAGCGTGGGTGAGGTAGGTGCAGCCGCTGGTGGTGGCGGTGGTGCTGCAGTCGAACTGCTGGACCTGGCCGAGAGGTGCTGGGCAGAGGCTGCCGATGACAGACCCAGTTTCGATGCTATCAATGCCAATTATATCAAGTACGTTGTTTAGTTAAATACTTAAATATAACATACAAATATGACAAAACCCACAAGGGTTGTGTTAAAGAGAAGAGGAGAAGTATGTGTCTTTCTGCTATGTTATTGTATAACATAAACATAAAAGGAATGTCAAAAACAGAGCAATATATTTCTGTCTTTGTCATTTCGGGTGTGACGTCATAGACGCATCATTTGTTTAAGAATTTGCAACGTCATAAATATAATCATAAGAATTTTGATTATTAGTTTACAATACACGGGTTTTAGTCATAACCATATTTTTTACAACTAGGGGTTATTGTGACAATCTAATGGACGACCTCCTTCGTCGCATGGAACAATACGCGAACAACTTGGAATCACTTGTCGAGGAAAAAACGGAACAATTGTCGCTGGAGAAGCGGAGGTCTGAAGAGCTACTGTATCAAGTACTACCGAGGTACGTGCCTTATTTTATGTTATATCAATGAGTGGGACAGACATTCACAAACGACAGTTCTCAATGGCTACTGAGCGAATCCATGGTTACAAAATATTTACCAATTAAATAATTTACCGCCATATTCAGAATCATTTAATCGTTACTTATCGCAGTCTTTACTTTTTGGAACAAAATCGTTACTAAGGTATAGTTAAAGTAACCATGACATGTTTGTCTCTCTATTGAACTATACTAGCTATCATTACATATGTCAACTCAGGCCTGTAGCCCAGCAGTTGATGGCCGGTGAAGTGGTACAGCCGGAAAGTTTCGAGTGTGTGACGGTGTACTTCAGCGACATCGTCGGCTTCACGGAGCTGTGTGCTGCCTCCACTCCCATGCAGGTGGTGGACCTTCTAAATGACCTCTACAGCACATTCGACAGGATAATTGGGTTCTATGATGTTTATAAGGTTAGTTTTATACTTAAAGATTCTTCATTGTCACTTAGACATAACATAACATGTTTTATACTTAAAGATTCTACATTGTCACATAGAATGTTAGTAAATATGTCATTTGGCTCCATTTTAAAACCAACACAGTTGGATTTTTGTGTTGAATCAATGCTAATACGGAATAACTATCAATAAAATCCTTTAACTTATTATTTCGATAAACGAATCAAAGGTCATGTATTCGTATGGATTCAAAACCTTTACCGGTGATGCTTGACTATGCAAATTGTAAATATCACAGTTTTTACTTGAAAAACATCAAGTCGTATCATCTAGTCATACACTAGCCAATTTCCTTTATTCCTATTTGATAACAAAGGTGGAGACAATAGGCGACGCCTACATGGTGGTGTCTGGTCTCCCAGAGAGGAACGGTGACCTTCACGCTCGGGAGATCTGTCTCATGGCGCTCGCTATTGTGGAAGCTGTCAGAGGATTCGTCGTGAGACACAGGCCTACGCATCGATTAGAAGTAAATAAAATATTGGTAACACATCCAATTATAGGTTTTTGGAATAAAAAAAATATCGTAGAAGCAACCTTATACTTCTTCTTTCACATAGCTCTAGTTTAAATTGTAATACTAAAAATTACATTGTATCTATCTAAACACATTAAAATGATGATCTTATTATGCAGATTTAATTTTAGGTTACGTCCATTATTTCGGGAGAACTGTAAATTACAATTTTTATTCTGTTAAAATAAGGTTCGCATCGGAGTGCACTCGGGCCCCGTCTGCGCCGGAGTAGTAGGGGTCAAGATGCCCCACTATTGTTTATTCGGAGACACCGTGAACACAGCCAGTCGGATGGAGTCTACGGGACAACGTAAGGATTTACCAATTGTTCATAAAGACTTTATGCATAAGATTAGCACATCACTCGACTGATCGATCAAATGTAGCAATGAACTTTTTATTAAACTTCACTATCAATTTTATATCTTTGTTCCCGTAATAGCTCAAGACTAACTAGAAGTTATACTTTCAACCACGCAGATACAGATTGTGGCTTGTATAAATTACCTTACGTGAAACAAGAAAATACTATGAAAACAAAGATTTAGGTGACAGAATGAGCCGAACTCACGTAAGAAGTACGCTCACTGCCGGATTTGTTAATTACAAACTTGGTAATAAAGTTATGGAACCGTTATAAACGTCCGTCAAAGGATTCAACGTTTATTTCTTTGAGTTTTATAGCGAGAACAAACAACTCCACTGTCAACAGAGTCGTTTTAATTAAAATACGAATAGAGTTTTTTATTATTTTGTACATTTCGAAGAATAGTAAAAGACGGTGTTATTATTTGCCATTGGCATCTAATCTAACTTTTGCGAACTAATGTTAATAGAAAAAATGTAATCCTTTTTCAGTAGTTACTTTATTTTACTTAAATGTTACTTTTATTACTATGACACAAATGCTCCTTTACAAAACAAAGAGTGTTCGACATTCATTATTCCCATTTGAGTCCATAAGGTCTAATTAGGTAGTTTTAGGGTATCAAAATTAAAAATCTAATTAGTCCGTCAGTTAGATAATGAAAAAATATTAGACACATATTTTTTTATTTTGTCGTTTTATAAAACAATACTTAGATAAAACGGAGTTAAGTTTAGGAGTGGGAGGTTTTTACGTCATAACGTGCGACAACATGTTGCACGCTGTGACGTCACACGATATTTCAAATTAATATATCGTCGATAGTATTTAATTTTGTGAGAAAAGAAAAAGTACGTGTATAAAGTTTTAAGTTAATGTACCAGGCGGACATTAAAATAAAATTTAGGAATCTATTTAGAAATTGCAAATTAAAGTGTCATATGAAATATTCACTCATTCAAATCTCACAAACAATCGTGGCATACCTTAACCATAGAGATAGGTCTCTACTTAATGCATCCAAAAACACCTAATGCCTCATTTTCTTCCAGCCCTACGCATCCATCTAAGCGAAAACACCAGAGCGTTACTGGACCAATGGGGCACCTTCGTGGTGGAGCGTCGAGGTGAAGTGGAACTCAAGGGCCGCGGGAGGATGCTCACACACTGGCTGCTGCACTGCTCGGAGCCTGAGGCCAGGCCACCCACACAAGGGCTTCAGCCCCCTCCGCAGTATCCTATACTGTTCCCTGCATTACCACAACCAGCTTTATCATTACAAGTTCCTTACTTAGTTGTGGAGCCTCCTACTTTAGCGGCTTGAAGAGATTATTATACTTTTGTATTGGTATCAGTGTGTGGGTTTGTTGGTTCCAAGTTTCCGACTGCCTTTAAAGAGTAACCTTTATTTACACCCTTTTTAGTTACAGTTAAAGTTTCGTTGTGTAGGTATGTAGGACATTTGAGCTCAAAGCATAAGTAAAGAACTATAGTTCGTTTTCTATCACACAGAAAACGGTTTAAAAATTTTTACTAGGTCACAGCGAAGTCTTAAATTATCAATAAACAAAGCTCCCGTCAAAAACAATATCCAAGATGAACGCCCGACAATTTATATTAACCAGGCCGAGCGATAAAATATAAAATATGGAAGGATAAACCAAAAATAAACAAGTACGTGAGTGAAAATGCTAATTTTATGAGTATTTTATCCGCTTTCCAGTAGTTAATGACTTGACAGTGATAACATTTACATTTTACAAGCTTGTACATCACAATTGTGATTTAACGAGAGATAATTTGCATTAAATCTACACGAGAGTTCTTTGTTATCTGTGTACAGATGCATTCGAATCGCATGTTAACGTCACCAGGGACGTTCGAATTTTGAACGTTTGGATTAACTGATAATTGGCGCGTAAAATTTCAAATGATTGAACATTCTAAAATGGAACACTGTTTACTGTTTAATTATGTTGATTTAAATGGTTTTAATTTTAAATATATTGTTAGTGGTCATTTTTACTTTAAAAAAAAAAATGTATCATAAAGAATATTTGCATTGATTCGTGTATACTTTGAGTGTGTGATCAAATTGTTTATTCTGTTTAATATTATGAAGTAATCCGTTTTAAACGTTTTAACCTTAGTTAATTTGTTTAGTTAACTAGACATCAAAGGACATGATTAGCCTTTAAGCTATGCTTGGGTATATCGGTAACGTTTTGGTTTTTATATTACAGAACCAAAATACAAACAAAAACACTAGAAACAAAACTGGTTATTTTTGCCGGTAGCTTCAAAATATGATTTGTTACATATAAAAATATTCTTCTTTATAAAGTAGTTTTTTTTATGGCATAAGCCGGTAAACGAGCGGACGGATCACCTAATGGTAAGCAATCGGCGTCGCTCATGGACACTTGGAACACCAGAGGCGTTACAAGTGCGTTACCGGCCTTTTGGGGAGTAGGAGTTTCAGGATCGTTGGGGATTCAGGAATTGGGGAGATTAGGGAAGGGGAGGGTAATTGGGCCTCCGGTAATCTCACTCACACGACGAAACACAATGCAAGGTATCACTCCGGTCGAGCTGGCCCATTCGTGCTGAAGCATGGCTCTCCCACATTTTCAGACAATTTCAAATCCTTTTGTCGAAAAACCAAGCATAATATTTAAAAAAAAACACATTTAAGCATCTAATTTCTATACCTTCCAGAATTTTAACAATAATTTTGTTGAAAATTGCTCCGTGTATCCATGGAGCGTAAAACATATACCACGGTAGATTACACCTCATGTGCGTAGTTTGACAAATGAACGTATATAAGTTAAAATTACCGCCGGTTTCACTGTACTGAAACATTCATATACTGCGGCCTACGTAAAAGTAATATTACGCTGAAATTATGAAAGAGACAAATATGAAAGTGTTCAGTTAAAGGTTACTTATATCTTCTACAAAGTATTATTTTTGATGTCTATGTAGTAATCCTTTTTTAACGGACTTCTAAAGAAGGAGTTTTCTCAATTCGACCGCATCTATGTACCTCTAGATATGATTTTTTAAAGATAATGCTTCAATCGTCTTTAAAGAAAGAGAGAAAAACATTTATTCGGCACCATTTCGAAAAACACTCTAAATGTTTTCTTTACTTGAAATCGACTATTTCAAAAAATAATGTAAAGTCATAGGTCATAAGTATGACCGTTTCATTCGATTAATTATTTTATTCTTAAGTGTTTATCGTAAGAATATTTATATTTAATCTATAACTTCTGCGGCCTATCACTAGTTATTCTAAGTAAATTGTAGTTTAAATGTACACGTAAGTAATAAGATAACTCTTTTATATCATATTTTAAACATGTATTAGAAAACTAATTAATTTAGAAATTCATTTTAATGTAAAAAAATTATTGAACCAAAATTGTATTTTATTAGAATAACAATGTATAAATACTCGTTAGAATGAGATTCTTTGAATAAAATGTATTATTAGATATATTATTTCTAGTTCTAGAAAATCGTAGAACACAACTCTTCATATTTATAAATACTTAGTTTAAAATATCGTTGTCCCTAAATGTCTATTTTTATATGAATGTTGAAAACGAAACTATTACTTATAGAATGCTTTTATTTATTTTACGTCAATTAACTGTGAAAAATGACAATTATTTTCCATGTTTGGTGATAAAATAAATACGAAAATTTATATTGCAGTTTTATTTTTGCACGATACAAAGAGAAACAATAAATGAATTTAGTTAGAGAGATGAATGAATAGCTCTGTTTGTGCTGAAAACTTCTAAGAGGGGTGGGCGACCTAGACAAGTACTTAATTGGCCTGGACCAAGTCTACGAATCATACTATCTTTATAAGCAAATATTTTACAAGTGAAACAAGTGAATTTATTTCTGCAAATAGGCTACAAGGCAGCACTTTTATACGTCAATTTTATCAAGCGAACGATGAGGCCGACATTTCCTAACTGACTACTCTGAGAAGAAATGCCGAAACAAACTCAGAGGTCTGTCTCTTTTAAAGTCCAGACAAATGTGTATAAAAGATTATGTGTGAGAACCGTTAATCATATACCGTTATGATAATTGAAGATGCTAAAGCAGCCAATGTATAACACACTTTACTCTTTATAATCTCTTACAAACGCACACTCCTTCTCTAACGCAACTAACTTACTCTTCTTCACAATTGTATAATTTGAGGACTCCTTTCTCAATATCTCTAATAAAAATATTATTAAAGAAATCAAGCAGCCAAAAATAAGGCAGAGGAAACAAGTGAGGGTCTGATGCTGAGTCAATGGCGAAGGATCAGAATTTATCGTGGGAACGTAAGTCGTCTTCAAGTTCGCTTCTTTCTCTAACAAACCGCTTTCTATCATCCTTGGTAACCACACAGAGAGTGGTCTAACAAACGGAGAGTACATCTTCATCCATACAACCAATGGAACAGTTAGTATCGAGTCTGGTAACACATGCCCACACTCATTCTCTTTCTTCCCTTGTGCCAAGCAAAAAGCAAAAGCATACTCCAAGGACGTAGCCAGCACAAACTTCTTCTTCCCTTCTAAAATTTCTCGGAAAACATCTTCAAACTTCACCTCAGGGATTATTTCAAAGCCATCTCTGATTAAAGGATCAAATTCGAAGTGGCCGTAAATGCCCGCCCTGCCACCGAACTTAAACCCACTGTCAACAGTTTCCTTCAAATTCGCGAAATTTCCTGTAAGTGTATCTGTTTTTAGAGCACCAATTAGAACACTTTGGTACGCGTTTCGGACGACAAAAGTAAACCATATCCACAGGCCCACGATATAGAAATCTCTAAACCTTCTTGGTGCCACTCTGATGGTCTGTCCAAGCATTGCTCCCCAAACTCTAAACGCTGCACCTTGAACCTTGTCAAAGTTCTTGAAATAACGGTTACAGAACTGCTTTGTACGTTTAAATTTTAGTACAAAAGGGAGGGATATAACTATGAATGTTACTACAAGGAGTATGAGCCATAAATACCCATTTAACGGTGATAGTAATCGCCACCACATAGGTCCGGGACCAACCGGAGGAGCCAGCCATGCAATACGAATACGAAAATACGGCATCGAATAATCTAGAAGACCTAGTCTGTCGACTCCTAAAGGTATGGTACACGTGGAAATGTTAGCAAACCCAGAAATGACGTCATTTAAAGAATCTGACCAGTTCTTGGCTCGATCCGAATCTATACTGATGTAATCTCTAGCTGATATTATGGGCGTAAAGTTCATGATATCCCGGAGCAACCTTACTATTGATTTCTTGATTATTTGCAACGGAATTTTCCGGTCAGTGCCTCCCTGGTGGTAGATTTTATTTGTCGATATGTACAAGGGACACTCGTGCATGTTACTCATTTTATCTGGATACATGTCCCTCAGACACATGCCCGGCTTCCAATAACTGATGAGGGTCGGTTCCGTGTTCTGACAATTCAAATGATTTCTATAAGGATAGTAAGTGAACAAAGCAACTTTATTCTTCTTGTCTTTCGTTAGAATTATTACATCGGTGACGTAATAATTCCATAGAATGGTAGTAATATGATCGAGTTTCTTGCGGTTTGAATTGATAACGATTAAGAACTTTGCTCCTCCATTAAATAGGTTTCGTCCTCTCAAATCTGACTTCAGTTTACTGAGTAACCTCATGAAGGATTGGTAGTTATCCACTATGATGACTACTTGCTTTGCAGGGTCTATTCCTCTACTTTCTATCATCACCGTTCCTTGATATGCCTTTACGAAATCGGTCACCATCTTATTATCAACATCGTTGTAAAGAATTAAAGTCGATTGTCTGTAGTTAAAGTTGGTATTAGCGACTTCTATCGCGCAATTGATGAGATCATTTCGTCTCTCAGTACAGGATGACATTTTGATGAAAACTATTGCAAAATAGAAGGTTTTTAAATCACAGTACATTTTGAGAAAGAATCGGTTAGTGTCGGCTGCTATTTCCAAAGTGACTGTTATAACTTTTGTTGGAAAATTGATGGATGGCGAATGTTCCTGACTGTAAAAGGTAATAAATCATGTTTTGTTTCAAATGTTGCGTTGGTGTTAGCAGACATTTACCATCTTTTATGCAGCATGTAGCTAATGCAGTTGTTAGATCGAAATGGATTCCTGAACTGTGATAAATCATTTTCGAATGGTTTTGACATTTGTTGTACAGTCTGTTTGTTCTAAGAAATGGGTATTTGAATTTTATTGAGTTTTCAGAACTGAAAAACGGGCTCGGTTCGACTTCTGTGTTGGCCAAATTATTGGTGCGTTTTTTCAATTAGGAAACTGTGGGTGTTGCGCTGTCGAGATTCGTAACTCAATCAATTAAAATTGAATGTTAAATGTAATGAGAAGGCCGCCTATATAAGATCGTTAGGCTACTGTGCATGTTGTGACACCTTAAAATGTTGTGCATTAAAAATGTATTATTATGTAAGTACCTAGATGTAAGACTTAATGTAGCAATAGGATAGATGCCTAATTTTTATTGTAATGTCCGTCTGGTAGATTATTTTAAATCAATAGACACGATTTTTTTATTTTCTTACAGAAATGAATACGTCCGACGATATATTGATTTTAAGTGGCGACACTTCTATGTACATCTCATACGTAGAAATGACGTTTTAGCCCCCACTCCTAAACTTTGATTCGTTTTATTAAAGTATTATTTTATTATACAACAAAATAAAAAAATACGTGTCTAATGTTTTTTCATTACCTAACTTAAGGACTAAATAGATTTTTAATTTTCTTACACCGTCATCATCCCAATTACTGGTTGTCCAAATTATAAATAACTAGCAGTCCGTCCCGGCTTCGCAGGGGGTAGATTTTTTTTTTTCAAAATGAAATGTAGCCTATGTTACTCGGGGATAATGTAGCTTTCCAGAGGTGAAAGAATTTTTGAAATCGGTCCAGTAGTTTCGGAGCCTATTCATTACAAACAAACAAATCTTTCCTCTTTATAATATTAGTATAGATTAAATAGGAACAACAAGTGTGGGAGATCCATGCTTCGGTACGAATGGGCCGGCTCGACCGGAGTGATACCACGGCCTCACAGAAAACAGATGTGACGCTGCAACGCTTGCGTTGTATTTCGTCGTGTGAGTGAGGTTACCGGAGGCCCAACTACCCCCTCCCTAGTCCCCGTCTCCCGAATCCCCGAATCCTCCATAATCCTCAAATTCCCAATTCCCAATAGGCCGGTAACGCACTTATAACGCCTTCGTGTTTCGAGTGTCCATTGGCGGCGCCGATTGCTTACCATCAGGTGATCCGTCTGTTCGTTTACCGGCTTATGATATAAAAAAAAGATTGTTAGGCTACTGTGCATGTTGTGACACCTTTTAAATGTTGTGCATTTAAAATGTATTATTATGTAAGGTGCTTAGATGTAAAATCTAATGTAGCAACTACTGCTTGTCCAAATTATAAATAGGAACTAAAAGCAAAAAATTACGTTACGTTGTTTACTACAAAAAAAAACAATAATAAAATAACTGTCTAAGCAACCCGCTATCCTCATTTTACTGCATCACTGCGCGCCTGCGTATCCAACTGTGCGTTACCATAGCAACGGGAATAACAACATAAATCGTAAACAAAACAGCATCGCCAAAATTGTGTAACTTCCAATATTATTTAAACTTTAATACTAAGATCAATGTGACGTAAATATGACGTCATAGTGTCAAAAGAAAGTTAGGTCACCGCTTCATAAATAATACTTAATTTGAATACTGCCATTTATTTTACCTAGAGAATTATTATTTTAGGAATTGTGGTCTAATATTTTACAAACTAAATTCATATTTTATTTAGAACGGTAGGTATTTAATACTACTATAATAAATATTAAAAAGGGTTAAAGTTAATATGTATTTAAGGGTGATAAAAATGAAAGAGTTGTGCTACTTTATTTGTTTTTTATTAAGTTTTGATATGTTATTTGCAAAAGAATTAGAATTGCCGGGTAGTTGTCAACTGGGGTATTATTACGAACCTAGTACCCTTGGATGCCTGGCCTGTCCTGCTAATGCTTCCATGGTACCTTCTGCAGATGGTGAGTACTTACAAATACTTACTCACTGCTATTATTCTAGAAATGAGAAATGGCGATTCACAGTCTCTGCCTACCCCTGCAGGAGACAGGCGTGAAATTATGTATGTATGTTTATATATACATACATACATAATTTCAGTACATTATTATACTGATACTTTACTGATTATTATACTTTATACCATAACGGCATGCTTTATAACAATAAAGTGTTCCTTTTATAGAATTTTTTAAGAGGTAGGCAGAGGTCCACAATTGCACATTATACAATATTACACTCATATTTCATCAATTATGCTGTAAGTCTATGTAACAAGGAGATTCTTCTATTGTCTAATACTGGACACAATTTTAGACTACGTTACTGATTTTTTTTCAAATTGATCCTAAATATACTTTATTTAATCAGGAATAGAGCCTAAGGTTTCCACAACATCTGGATAGCCGCTATCTACCAGAAAAAATCGAATTAACTCGTCGAGTACCGGTTTTGTAGACACAATTAAACTGTCAAATACCAAGCGGTCACCGGTGACCGCATTCAAGCAACATATTGTTCTATAATTGTGTCTGCAAAACCGGTACTCGACGAGTTAAGAACGTAATTTGTATGAACTATCTGCCATATAAATCTATTAGGTACTTTTATAGAGGTGGTGAAACCGGCGCTAAGACTGATACACAGTCACTTTTACAACCATTGTTCCACTATCCGAACTTACCAGTTCCATTTTTTAAAATTTATTTTTTCTTTTTAGGTTTCGGATGCTCCTGCGCTGAGCATAGTGTGCCAGTGGGTATAGGTAGATGCAAGCCCTGCAATGCTACTGAAGTGGTGTCAGCTGATGGCTACACGTGTGTACCACGTCGCTGTCAGAACGTGTCTGGCAGGATCGCGTGCAGGAAGTGTCCTCATGATTATGTAACAGGTTAGATCATTTGTTCTTGTGAGCTAATAGTAGGTTAATTGTGGTTCATAGAATAAAAATACATGATAATAAGGATTGCCTCGCTGGCCGAGTGGTCACAAGTGTGACTGCCGGGTAAGGGGTCTCGGGTTCGATTCCCGGGTCGGGCAAAATATTACTTGGTTTTTTAAAAATTCTCAGTAGTAGCACGGAGTCTGGAATTGTACCCGGTATATGGCAATAGGCTCGCCCCCATTACATGGGACTCATGACATAAATAGTGAAAAGTGGGTGTTACATTATACAGTGGCATAATGTGCACCTCTGCCTATCCCTTCGGGGATAAAAAGGCGTGGTTTTATGTTATGTTATGTGATTATAAGGAAGACAATTAATGAAGGTTTTTATGGAATGAAAACGAGTTTTCTGTATGTGTAATCTTCGGCTAAGTTGGTAGACGTACTACTTAGTATTTTTTATAGCGACCGAATATAGTTCAATACATTTCTTACTCACACGCTTTTCCGGCATTATCGTCGTTGTTGGGGTGAATAGTAGTAAACCATACAACGAAAAATAAATCATTTCCCTACATTTTTTTTATGGCATAAGCTGGTAAACGAGCTGACGGATCACCTGATGGTAAGAAATCAGCGTAGCCCATGGACACCTGGAACACCAGAGGCGTTACAAGTGCGATACCGGCCTTTTGGGGATTAGGAGTTTGAGGATCGTTGGGGATTCAGGGATTGGGGACATTGGGGAAGGAGAGGGTAATTGGACATAAAATAAGGTTTATTATTCCAGTTACTCAGAACATAGACGGCTCGCCTCTCAAAGAGGTTCAATGCGTGAAATGCGCGCGCGGCTTTAGACCAATAAACAACGTTTGCGCCCGCTGCGAGTCATGCACATGCGCGAAGAACCAGATCATTGTTCGAGGCATCTGCATACCTAAGACATATGTGAACTCTAGGCCGAAGTATGAAGAGAACAGTTTACATCCCCTGGCCCTTCTGGATGTCGTTAAACATGAATATTTGTGTATGGTAAGTGGAAATTGCTTTTAATTGATTAAGGTACTAATTAAATCTGATATTAGGCAGTTATTATCATCATATAAGCCAGACAAGGCTTTTGTTATGGACAAGATGTTCACTGGCAGACATAGGCCAGTGTTTTCCAGATTTTAAGCTACCTGTCCAATAACTTCTAAAAAAATCTTATTGCCTTCGTATTATGACGTGTTAAATGTTGTGAAATCTATAAATGTTATTGATTAAGCATATATATACATCACGGATCAAAGCAATATAATAAAATCGTAGTATTAGAAGCTTACTACGTCGTAGCCGCTACGCTCTGCTACATGCTACGCTGGCTACAAATTCGTAGCAAAAACGTAGCGATCAAACAACTATAATAACTTCCTCTAAATATATCATCTTATTTCATAGCAAAATGACCTGCGCGCATGTCAAACACTTGCCAATGAATGTGTTAAGAACTTCTATTCGACTGACGCAGCGGGACCCTGTCGACTTTGGATACAACCTAAATTGGTGACACCTAAAGGTAAAAGACTTTATTGAGTTAAAAGTATTTTAAAGGTCTAAAGTAACAAAGGTTTGGTTTAATATTTAATAATATTCTGTCCAACCAATGTCTCAAGTGATCTAAAATCATTTTGGGTATCATTAATAAGACAGTCTTTGTAAAAATCTTAAAGTCAATTACATACATACATAACTTCACACCTGTCTCCCATGGGGGTAGGTAGGAACTATTAAACGCCAATTTATTTATCTTATAACTTATAATGCAATGAACTACATAAATACAATTTACATTATTACTAATAATGATATTTTCCTCCTAGCTACTAATACTCGAGTCCTTTGAATATAATTCTTAATTAATTAGTATAGAGATTCCTCTATAAATGAAAAAGGAAGCTCGCCTTCAATTTATGATGATATAATTTTTAATCCACACCCAGACTAAGGGGATTTATGCTAACTAGTTTGCGTATAAAAACTCCTGTGGCCTTGCCACTACGAGTATAAAATTCAACCTTATTGTGTACAAAATAAAGAATTTTATCATTAAACAATGATTGCAGAAAGTTCTAATACATTTTTTATTTCATTTCAGCATTACCACGTCTCATCGTAGAATCAACTTTAGAAGATAAAAATCCAGGAGAAACTTACCTGGGAAGGAAAAGGGTATAAAAGTCAAGTCTTAATTGTTAAGGTTTTGACTGTCAATAAAAAACTGTTGAAGTCAAACCCTCTGCTAACGTCATACACCGGTACTGCCCATGGGATTTAATATCACAATCAGTCATGTGGTTCCATACATTATGCCTATTAATCACTAGCTACTTCCGCGCGGTTTCACACGCTCTGCTCAGCTCCTATTGGTCATAGCGTGATGGTTTATAGCCTATAGCCATCCTCGATAAATGGAATATACAACACGAAAATAATTATTCAATTCGAATTAGAAGTTTCGGAGATTAGTGCGTTCAAACAAACAAACAAAAAAACAAACGTATCATTGATATATACCCTTCTGTGTAAATCAATTAGTAAACATACTCTTTTAACATTATTTTAACATCACAGCTTTTCTCCCCGAATGTTTAGGCGCATTACGCCACTTAATGCCACCGTACAATGTAACACCCACTTTTCACTATTTAAGTTATAAGGGATGAGCCTATTGCCATATACCGGCTGCATTTCCAGACTCCGTGCTACTACTGAGAATTTCTTAAAAATAACCCAGTAATACTTTTCCCGACCCGGGAATCGCACCTGAAACCCCTTGTCCGGAAGTCGTACTTGCGACCTCTCGGCCATTGAGGCAGTCAAACTCTTTTATAGGTATTCTTTTATAACATACCCAATGCAAAACTTCGTGCAAATAAACTTAAGAAAAACTAGATAGTAATCTGCATTACCAATCCTAAAATCTTGTTTCCACAGGACTCCATACTAATAGCGGCAGCAGTGTTCTCAACAGACGGCCGATTTAAATTTATCAAGGACACAAACCAGGATCACAGTACGTCGTGCCGTCTTCCTGTTAAAATTAGAATCGGCCGAGACTTCTAGTAAGTTCCAAAACAATATTTGTGATAAAAACAAATGAAACACAATGCCTCACTCCTCGAATTTCTGAGAAAACACAAAACCTTTTATCTTTTGTTCGCGAAAAATTCTAAGAACTTTTAAAACGTCTGTTGTACGATATTTTAGGGCACTCACGTCGAAATTTTTAAAGGTAAATATTAAGAAATGACCAATTACGTTCAAGGTCAAGTGGTATTTTATGATCGATGTTTTTTTTTTTTTTTATTGCGTTTTCAGATAATTAACTGTGTAATCTACATTAACATAATGTCACACTTTTTAATTCCCAAAGGGCTGATGTGCAAATATAATTATCTATAGAATGTACTATGTTGATATACAAACACATAACAATACAGTATGTAATGTCGCACGCACTTTATACAATGTTAAATATCATTATACTCGCTATACTCCAGATGATTAGCATGAATGTACAGTAAACCTGTTTTAAGGACTATTTTTTAAATTATAACTTGTTTGAAACAAACGCTATCTTTTGAATGTCTTAGTAATTTACCGCAACCTGAACAAGCATGGAAGCTACGTGGCATTTTCCAATCTACTCTTAAAGAAAGGTCACAAAGTCATCGAACGACGAATAAAAATTATCAACAGACATTGATAAGCACTCACACTTCGAAATAACTGACATTACAACTCAATATAAGTTGACGAAATTCTTTAATTCACAAACTTGATCAAAGATTTTTTGTCCCTGTCTTTTCTTTTCCCTCCCGAAACGAATATAATAATAATATTGGTTTCGGGAGGTAAAAGTCGTTTAAAATAAATGAAAAGAAATATTGATTACCTAATCATACCTTTTCCATGTGGAAAAGGTATGATTAGGTTTTAGGCCGAAGCTTTAGGGATTTTTGACCTCAATCCATGTGGATTGAGGTCAAAAATCCTAAAAGCTTCGGCTCGAAGTGCAGAAGAAGGAACGGGGTGGGTTTTAGTCAGTGAGAGTCTGACACTCCCTCTGGCCTAACCTAACCCAAGACGGGAAAAGCCATTAGATGATTTTCCCCCCACAAAAAAGGACGTGGACGGGGTACGCTTACTTTGCAGATTTTATATAAAAAATAAATAATACTCTTCCAATTTATTGTAATTTAAACAAACTCAAGATTTTATAATTCTTCATCCATATAAGTCGAATAAATAAAAAGAAATCTTCATATTAAGTATGTTGAAAAATAATTATAAATCTTAAGAAAATAGCCTACAAGGATTTTTATCTTTCATAGATTGGACTCAGGTCCTTTCAAATATATCTCCGGAAATGGAAACATAAATGGAATTTCTAGAATAGAAAAAATAAAGTAAATAACGATTGATATTTCAATATATGTAGAGTTTTTATTTACGAAAGGTTATTTATATACAAATATGTGTTTGTGGTCATTTACACACGTCACTTGAGTAGTTACTATATAAGTACATATATATCTGAAAAAGTATTTGCGTCTTAAATTGAACGGTCAAGACTAGGTAATTTGCCGCGGAGGACTAACGGGTTGCCGGGGCTCCGGCTCGAAGTGCAGGAGAAGGAACGGGGTGATTTTTAGTCAGTAAGAGTCTGACACTCCCTCCCGCCTCTCAAGCTATTCGATGATTACCCCCCCTTAAAAAAGACTTAGTAATTTCTGTGAAATCTTAGTTGCAGAATAAAAATTCAAAGTAGTAATAGAAGAATTTTAAAATGTTTTTGTGTCTATGAATTAGATTAAAATTAAAAATAAATTAGCTAGTGCTAGACGTTGATAAAGATGGCCGCTTACTTTTAGCAGCTCGGACATTTAAGAAGGAACAACAACGCGTGGCTAGAGTATACAAATTTTAAATTAGCATTATAACACATATCAGAAAGGATAAGACAGGAAAAAGAAAAAAAGTTGTATTTGCACTGTTACAAAAATTAAACCAAGAAGGGTAGTTGAAAATTATTATAATGGTAAAAAATTATTATTATTAAAATGCTATAAAATGGTTCGAATCTACAAAAATGTGAAAAGTTTATTCGGATCAAGACAGTGGTTAAATAAAAGAAATTCCCATTAATTTGTCTTTTCTTCATAACAGATCAACCTAATTATTTTCCTGGATAGCGTTCATAAAACTTTATGACCATTGGCTGGGTGATCTGATTATAACCTCTCTTTTTGTTTTTATATAATGAATATTATTCCCGCGCGGTTTCACTCGTTGTTTAGCCCTATTGATCATAGCGGGATATTTCATAACCTTTAGGCTTCCTCGATAAAGACAAAAATATTTATTCAAACCGGACCAGTAGTTTCGCAGCGCGTTCATACAGACAAACAGACTCTGCAGCTTTATGCTTTATTTTTTACTTTTGACTTTATTATTTACATTAATAAGAAACTATTTACAATTTATGATACGTCTCGGTTAGAGGTATTTCGTAAGATATCTCTCGGTCAGAGGTTAAGCATTATTATTATTTATTTATAAGCATTTCCATACAATGAGGCAATGCTGCCAGCCTTCTGGGTACTTTCCCTATTTATTGACGTCACGGCGCGTCGCGTTCCACGCGCGCCTCAAAGAGCCATCAGACCACCACAGATGGGGCCCAATAGGGCCGATGCCGATTCGGAGTCGTGGAGAACCTAACGGGTAACCGGGGCTCCGGCTCGACGTGCAGGAGAAGGAACGGGGTGGTTTTTAGTCAGTAAGAGTCTGACACTCCCTCCCGCCTCACCCAGGCGGGAGCAGTCATTCGATGATTTTCCCCCCTTAAAAAAAAAAAAAATTATTGTCGTCGATGCGGACGACGTCGATTTTTTGATGTTCTTTGTAAATAATTATATTTAGTTTTCTTTTATTTAATTGATGTAATAAAAATAAGTAAAATATAAGACTGTGGTTGTTTTGTGACTGAATATGTTTTATTGGTCACGTATATTTATAAAGTTCGAATAGTTTTCTTCGAAGATTTATTTTATCGACATTCTAAAGTTGAATGTTATCTGTGACGTTATCCTTTTTTATTTTTGTTATACGTAGTCTTCCGCACCTATTACAACGTTATTTTATAGGTATTAAAGTTCAAAATGTACTGCTAATAACAAAAACATAGTTTCTAACAGCCGTTCACATTGCAGTCGCGATTGCATCATAAATGTATCGAAGCTTGCCGAAGATTTGAACGAGACGATATCTCCTTATCTGTATGCTGAAGGAAAACTCGTGCAGATACCTGTTTATCCTAGGAAACCTAATGGACAACCTATACAGGTAGGTATAATATGTTACTGCGACTTTTTTTATTTTTAAATATGACACACTGATACAAATATGTACAATTTAAGTTGTAATTTTTTGATAAAAATTATATTTCAGCTGGATTAGCGATTTTGTAAACGATAAATTGGTGACTTTTCATATTTCATTTATTAAGTGTAGTAGTATAGTATAGTACCTCTATTTTGACCCGATGAAATGAAATGAAATAAAAATCCTTTATTATTGTATTTTGTGATTACATTCATGCCGAATTAAACTCATTTCATTTTATTCCATTCCATTTCATTTCATTTTATTCCATTCCATTTCATTTCATTTCATTCCATTTCATTTCATTGGGTGATCGTGCTTTGGGACTCCTTTTAAGTAAGATGTGCCTGTGTTAGGAAACCCTCTTCCTTAGACTCTTACTTATAAAAAAATATCAATAAAAGCTGTTTTTGGCTATAACAGTACAATTTGGAATACAGGGGGAATGGAAGATAGGGCAAAGTTTGTGCACGCACACGCGCAAGAAGTCCCTCGGTCTCTTCATATGTGAGAGTTTCTACCCGATTACTTTATACTATAGATTATAGAATATTATAATATTGACATTTATTAAAATGTTAACGCTCATTCTAATTTAAATAAATTTTAGATACTAGTCTATTTTGTGAGTCTTCATTTTCAGTGAACAGTTATTAGATGTAACCACTCAATGTAAAGTTATTATTACAAACCATGAAATGTAAATTGATGTATCTGTTTACAGAAAGGCACCTGGATTTCCAGTAAATTTAAACGGTTCTTCATAATGGATGGCTCTCTCTCAATAGTCACAAATACCACGAACTATGTATACTTGCGCACAATGGAGATTAAACTACAGTAAGTCAACTTCTCTTATTATCGAATAATAACAAAGACCGCTTTTCCACGAAAGAAATAAGCTTTGTAAATTTAAATTAATTACTTTTATTGCGGACAACTCAAATCCATTTGGTTAGTAAACAAACAACTTATAAAACTAGTGTTAATACTCAAAATTACCAGTTACAATTGGACCCTGTTAAGCAGAAAAGATATAGTCCACATTTATGTATAAAATATCTATTCAATAGGTAGTTTTTTTATGGCATAAACCGGTAAACGAGCAGACGGATCAACTTAATGGTAAGCAATCGGCGTCGCCCATTGACACCTGGAACACTAGAGGCGTTACAAGTGCGTTACCGGCCTTTTGTGGATTAGGAGTTTGACGATCGTTGGGGATTCAGGGATTGGGGAGATTGGGGAAGGGGAGGGTAATTAGGCCTCCGGTAACCTCACTCACACGACGAAACACAACGCAAGCGTTGCTTCACGTCGGTTTTCTGTGAGGCCGTGGTATCACTCCGGTCGAGCCGGCCCATTCGTGCCGAAGCATGGCTCTCCCACACTTTTTTTGTCATATGATTTTTTTATTATCTGCCCAACATTATAGTTCATATACTCAAAAGTAATAAAATGTGGGATGGATTCTCTGCTTCACAGGGTTCAATTAAAACATAACTATCTTACGCCACAATAGCATGCAGGCGTGTCCGATGCCCCAGTATGGGGCTGTCCCATTTGTCTGTTATAGTCTTCAGGGTAGTATTGGGGCTGACGCACACCCTATGCATGATTGTAAAGCATAACACTTGTAATTTAGAATTCAACCCTAGCTTCCATAGCTACTTGTAAGAAGCGACCCTAACTATCTGGTTCTTGCTTTTCCTCTGCAGCGGTTTATTAAAAAAAAAACGAAGCCCATTTTCCAGTTTTCTAAAACTACTGTTTGAAGAACAGGAGGTAAACAGTCCGTTGTAAGCTTGCTAGTTGCAACGTGACAAAAACGTTTAACCACTTCATATTCATAATATTAGTAAATCTTTTTAAATATTCAACGCTTTTCCGCATTGTATGTAAAACTCACACCAAACATTTTATAAATCGAAAATTAAATGGGAAATATCCCTCTTAATGTCATGTTTGTAAGTGTCATGTTTGTAATCACGAAACTAATAATAATAAATGAGGTAGAATAACCCAATAACTGTCTTTAAACTTTTAATTTATGACCTATATCTGCTATTTATTTGGCACAGAATTGAACGAGACAAAGCCAGTCCAAGCTCTCTACGAGTACAAGTATCTGTAGAAGTCAGTTACGCGTCGAAGTCACCTCTCTCAGAGTCTGTCACCACGACTTTAAAGGTGGTACATGTAATGCCTGAAGCTGGAGTTCATCGAGGATTAGAGGTGTGTTCTTTATTTAAACTGTCAAACACCGCGCGGTCACCGGTGACCGCAACCTATATAATTGTGTCTACAAAACCGGTACTCGACGAGTTAAATAAATCGTCTCATTATCAGAATCCAAACAGCTACTATTACTACTACTAACTAGACAACTTTATTCATAGGTTTTTGTGACAAACTCCATTTCAACCTTCTGATGACGAGTCATCGTAATGTCATCGACAAGAATTCCAATTCAGCTGCTTAGAAGCGACCTGTATCGCTAATCTTTGTAACCAAATATCTATTATATCATATAATTTTTTTCTATTCCTTCGAGGAGAATACACGTAAAATACATATTTTACGTGTATTCTCCTCAGTTAAAAGGAAGTTCAAAGCTTAGTTTTTAAGGACACGTACACATGTACGTGTCCTTAAAAACTAAGCTAATAAAATATTCTATTAAATGATAATAAAATAACTGTGGATACAATTCTCGAGTAAATTTTCATGTAAACGACTTTTCGCTTTTTTACGAAATATTTCCCAGTCCTCGGGGCGTCGGCTAAATAATTTATGGATGGCGTTTCTGAGAATCTGAAACAGGAAATAATTCCAAAAATTAAGGCTATAAAGTCACCATTGCTCATAAACTTGATGTCATAAATAAAGTGTTTCCTGACGTAAAGCAGGAAAGTGTTATTTATTCTGTACTTTTTAAAACGGATATTTTAAAATGAAATTCTTGAACAATCAGTAAAATTAAATTTGATTCCTTTAAAAACTAGAACAAAATATTTCATTAACTTTGTATGGTTAAGTCGGTAAACGAGCCGACGTATCACCTGACGGTAAGCCGATTGGCCCCACCCATGGACACCTGAAACTGATTAGGGAGACTGGGGAGGGCCTCCGGTAACCTCACTCATACGACGAAAAACAACGTAAGCGTTGTTTTCGAAAACTTATTCTTTATTCGATATTATATATAATTGTAGATATGGGGCGGAGTGCTAGGCTGCCTGTTGACATTGTACGCGATGGTGCAGTGGCGAGGAGTGGTTCGTAGAGGAGGACTCTACGTTTCTGTCCTTCCTTTGATGGCGGCTGCTTTAGCTGACACCTTTTACTTTGTAAGTCAGGGCTGTATTTTAAGGCATTAAAATTATGTAAACTGTTCGATTTAGTGAAGTGTTTTGTCGCTTGTGGGCTTATTGTCGAAGCTCAAAGTCGCTCAGCGTGCTATAGAGAGAGCTATGCTCTGGGTTTATTTGCGCGACAAAATCTGAAATATGGAAATTCGCCAAAGAACAAGAGTTACCGACATAGCTCCCAAAATCTGCAGACTAAAGTGGCAATGGGCAGGCCACGTCCCTCGAAGGACTGACGGCAGATGGGCCAGGAAAGTCTTTGAGTGGAGACAACGGATCGGAAGACGAAGTGCGAGCAGACCTCCCGCTAGGTGGACTGACGACATTGCCAGAGTTGCGGGGGCCAGTGGATGCGGGTGGCGAGTTGTCGTTCGACGTGGAGGACTAAGGGGGAGGCCTTTGTCCAGCAGTTGCCGTCTTCCGGCTGGTGATGATGATGATGATGGGCTTATTGTCGAGTTTAGAGGTCTAATATTAGAATTGTCATATTTTTGTAGTTTTTCAGTAGACATTTATAATAAAGATATGTTACTTACGATTGAGATATAGGTACTCAAATGTAATCTTGGTCCCTGGTGGTCTTACAGCTATATACTTACCTAATTCAAATACAGGCTGCTTGGTTCTCCACCCTACATGCCCTGGCTGCGGAGGCAGGTACGCTCGGGTTGACGTTACCACTGTCAAAGGCTGAGGAACGCATCATAATGGCATTCGTATACACTGCTGTATCGTTAAAGGTTGGCTATGAAAAATTACTCTAAAAATACTTACTTAGATATGATCATTGATCATACAGCTACAAAATTATTTTTGTTATTCAGGCTGTTAAAGTTGCGTGGATCAACTTCAACCAATGTCGATGTGATGTCTTCTTTTTGGATTGGTCTGAATATAATCCGCCGTATAAAGGTATGTAGTCACTATCAAAGTCATATATAAATAATATTTAAAGCCAAGAATACACTAGGGGATAAACGTAGGGTGAAGTAACGCGACGTTGCCGGACTTACGTTAATGTCTGGCAACATTAACGTCGCTACGGACATAAGGCGCGCGTTGTCGCCGTATATATCAGTTGGCTTCGCTTGATCTAAACGATTATTATTAATTTTTTTTATACGTCTTGGGATATTTGTCCTCTAGTGTATCTAATTCTCCCGAGCGTACGGCGCGTCGCGTTCCGCGCGCCAATCAAAGAGCCATCAGACCACCACGGATGAGGCCCAATAGGGCTGACCTAACGGGTTACCGGGGCTCCGGCTCGAAGTGTAGGAGAAGGAACGGGCTGGTTTTTAGTCAGTTAGAGTCTGACACTACCTCCCACCTCACCCAGGTGGGAGAAGTCATTTAATGATATTCCCCCCTTAAAAAAAGTGTATCTAATTCTAATTTGTTCGTTTATGTAATAATTTAAACGTACATTACGTAGGAGCAGCGACAGAGAAGTATAACAGTTGGAGAGCGTCGACATTAGCCAGAGAGTGGTCCAGGATGCAGACTATGAGGAGAGTGTCTCCAGGGTATACCACCAGCTTAGCACTACTTGTGTTACATGTGGGTATTTACTAGGATAGGCATGTACATGTACAAATACGTTCACTAGTTAGGGTACAATTCTAATCTCAAAATTATTACTCGAAAAATTTATGTCGGTATGTAGAATAGATTCGTAACTGTCCATTATGTCATACAGGTGCTTTTGAATTGTTATTGTTTTTGATTTTAAAATCGGTATGTTTTGTACATTTTATACCTATTTATTTCAAACCTAATACACAATATGGATCGGTATAGTATATTGAATCATACATCATTTTAAAATAACCGGCGCGACGTAATAAAAATATATAATATTTGACATTTAAGTGAAGTAACAGTCGATTATACAGATAATATTTGGTCCCAGGTTGCTGATAGCCTAATCAATTCGATCCCTGTCAAATGTGTCAACAGTTATGAATAAATGGGTGAATTATAGAAATAATATGACTATGTATACAATATTATTTGATATGGGTCTGACAGTAATCTCGGCTGCTTGCTGAGTCTGGGTTCGTGACCTGTGCCATGTGCCATCTACATTTATTAGTCAATATGAGCTTTGCTTTAAATATTCATTATATTTAAAGTAAAGCTCATATTCATAAGATTATTAAAACTATATACTATGCACTCTGTCAGTCTATACTTGGATACTGCATTATATCATGGGGTGCGGCTGCAAAGTTGTATCTGCTAAGGGCCGAAAGAGCACAACGTGCGTTACTGAAGTGCGCACACCGTCTTCCATACAGATATTGTACTGATCTCTTGTATCAAGAGACTCAAATACTCCGGGTAAGGCAGTTGTATGTACCATCTGTCTCATTACGTTTTCATAAAAATAGCCTTACTAAGGCAATTATGACGCGATCTCAACGCCTGCTTAAGTGGCAAACGGTTAAATTCAACAAATCGTTTAGTAGAAGGTCCTTTCTCTTCATGGGACCTTTCATATATAGAAAAATACAATCTAAACTAAATATCGCTACACTACTACGGAAAGACTGCAAGAAATAATTACAACTTGGTTATTAAATCTTGGCTATTCTTGTACTGAGAGTATACTCAAAATCCTTCAGTTAAACAGTCATCACTGGTATTACATCTCACCCGACATATCTCAACTATAAACATGCGCGTACACACACACACCACACACACCACACACACCACACACAAACACACACGCATACATAAATACATACATACATACAAACACACGTACACACACACACACAAACCTAAAAATCACACATACATTCATACACTTCCATAATTATCTAGTATTATAGAAAGAAAACTGTAAATTCATCGTTTTTATTTAAGGTAAAGGCACCTAATTCCGCGCTGTTTTTAACATAACACGAAAGAACATTATAAATTAAGTATTTATCGGACCTTTGTGTACAATTTTATATTTTTATCAGAAGTGTTAGTTATCAAATTTTTGAAATTATTTGCAGTTTGCCAGTAGAAGGTTATTGAAGCTGATAAAATAAATAAAAATATAAAAAAGTCCGAGGTACCTTATTCCGATTTAAAAATCGTAATTCCGATGCATTTGGTTCCTAATTCCGAGTATAAAAATAGAAAGGGAACTATGTAGGGAGAATTATACATGATGTTTAAAAGTCAAATCTGTTTATTTTTTATATTACTTAAATCAATTCTGTTTTTGTTTATTCTAGTTTTATTCTAAACCCTGTTTTTTATTAATATTATTCCTTAATCTTATAAAAATATAAAAATGAATTAACAATATCAACATTAAAATCTAATTGTTGCATTACAAAAATTTTTGTTTCCTCCGATTTTGAGAGTACCGTTTTGCGACCACTATATTTTTGGTCACGTTTGTCTCTCAATGTCGTTTCTGGAATGTTGTATTCTCGGGAAGCCTTATAGACGCTACTGCCATTATTAATTGCAATAAGCGCACTTTCAAGATCCTCGACCGTATATTTCTTTTTTGCGTTCATTATCCTACAACAACACAAGTAAGTTAATGTAAGTAGTACCACAGGTAATAATTATTTTTACCTGTGCTACGACCCGTAGTAGCACCGGTAAAAAGGGAAAATACCTAATATGAATATTCTTAAGAGTCTTCTAAAGTCATTTTCTTTAATATAATAAAATAAATAAAATACATGCAATTAAAAAAAAACTAAACGTAAAAAAAATAATTTTATTATATTTTTTTACAAACACACACTCCAATTTTATGTATTTGTATAGATGATTAGTATTCTTTCAGTTACTAAACGCGTATCTACTAAGCACATAAAATAATGAACACTCTGTATTTAAACAGGGTCTTAACTAACTTCGGAATTAGGTTCTCATGTAATCTTATTCCGACGTAAATACATCGGAATTAGGTACTCATGTAACCTTATTCCGACGTAAATACATCGGAATAGCGTTTTATGATGCTAAATCAAAGTTTCTAATTCCGAGTACTAAAAAGTAAAAGATTTTTTAATATTATGCAAATAAAATAATGTATAGTTACAATATGAAAGGAAAACAAATATAAAGTACATACATATAATAACAGAACACTTATAAAACCTAATGTCTTCACTAAAATCTTCTATACAACGTATTAATAAAGTACCTGTACAAACAATTTTTGACCTGCTATAATTAGTAAATGCGACGCCACGGTGTACCTCGGAAATAGATTATTAAATGTATGAGTTATTCATTAAGTCAGAACTAACACATTAAAGTTTATAATCATAAAACAGACACCGAAATTTAAAAAAACTAAATGTCTTTAAATTTGTTTTTCCGTGGTATACATCGGCTTTTAGGAACACACTAAAATATTTTGCACCTAATGCCGCGGTATTTTAAACACTTATTTTCTTGCTAATTTGCAAATAAAATACTCAAATCTTAAGTGTTTTCGATAAAAAATATTATCCTTTCAATATTTCAACCTAAACGAAAACTCGCGTTGTATAAAATTATTACGTAAAACACTATTTGGCAAATCGTAATACTCACGTGCATAAGGTCCCAAATGTATGAAGTGTGCTTTCGACGCCGCTCCCCGCGGCAAAATGACCGATTATTTTACAGTGTGACCATACTAAACTCTCCTTTGTATAAATAAATATGAACAGATAATTATTAATTCATTATTTTATCATGCAGACCATAAATAACTAGTAAATTGCTTTAAAAAACTGTTTTTCTAAATACATCGGAATATGATGCCATTTTTAGAACCCCTCGGAATAAGGTGCATTTACCTTAATTTCTTTTTCATTTTCTTTTCATTTTGTTTTGCATTTGTATTATAATGTTTTGCGGACTGAAAGAGACGGCCTCACGACACAGGAAATATGTGGGAGGTCCAGAGCCATATAAATATGTAACGTGAAGCTTTTTGTCACTAAACACATTTTTTTTATTTATTTTTTTATAATGAAAACTTACTGCAAAGACCACATTACAAAAAAGTCATTGATTCTTGTCAAAAACAACATTTTGTTAAATGTTGCTTCACTATAAGATTTAGTCCTGAGTTTTTTGTGATATAACGTACACATAATATAGGTATCTTTAATATCATTTTCCTAAGATTGATCGTTATAAATATAATCGATTGTGACGCGTGGGAACGTAGTTTAGCCATTTTAAGTCACGCGTTTGTCCCCATTTAGGGCACACCTGAAGACACTTTATTAAGCATAAAATAATCTTCAGTTTCTAACGCGTTTGGTCTTGTACTAGTAGGTAAAAGACTTATATAAAAATCTTCTATAACTGGTGACCGACACATACAATGCCCTCTATAATTTGCTTCACAATCAGTCGAAGTTACCGGTCATGATGAGAGAATTTGTTTGTATAAAACTGTAAAGAAGTTAACAAGTATAATTAATGAATGATTACCACAGCTCCTCGTACCCTGGAGATACTATCTCCCCCCAAGTCAAGGCTACAAATGGGCAGTAGCTACAATAGCCTGGTGGAGTTCGTACATCACGCTGCTGTCTTCCCGATGGGTGGTCGACAGGGCACTAGGGTCCCCAACTGCTGCCTTAGCGAAGATCTGCAGCAGTGTTGGACTATCGCTGTTGGTGTTTGAAGAGGAACACTACGCTCATTATATTCATGGACGGTAAGTATAATAATATAATCTATATAATGTAATTTGTGTAATGATATTGGGTCGCTTCCAACAGGCTTATCTAGAAGTTATTGGATTAGAAGTTATTAAAAGCGGTTTTTGTCAACTTCACTTACTATATCATTTGGACCACGCGATCATTGACCAATTCCTTTCAAATCTTGTCTTGGCTTACTAGTACGACCAGTTTGCTTTGCTTTAAAAATATTTGACTCAGATTGAACCTAATATTATAGAATTTAGTGCTTAATTTATTCTAATACTAAATTCCTTATTTTGTTCAGTAACGATGACACCAAAGATTTGAGGTCTATCTCGGGACCACTAGCTGCGTGTCGGGTGGTCTGCGCTCCACAACTCAGGTAATAAAATATAGAAATTGTTCTTATGTCAACGTACTAGTAAATATTTTTTTAATTTTAAGCCTCTAACTTCGGCTATGGAATTTGGGAAATCTATTCTTCTAGAGAAATAGAGCGTAAGAGGAATCGTAATCCAATTTTTAATAAAAGTTTTCTGCATAGTTTAAACTTCTTTAAATATCTGTAGGTAGTAAATATTATAATAGTAATAAAATAGTTGTTGTCTAATTTCAGGATTGTGTATAAACAGCTTTCCCTGTCGATACCAGGTAAAGCTTTAAACCTTATCATTACATTGGAGCTGTTGGTCCCATATACAATCACTGAGCACAATTTGAAATCTTTGTGCTATTACCTACTGAGAATTCCGATTGCTGGTAAACGAGCCGATGGATCACCTGATGGTAAGCAATCGGCGTCGCCCATGGACACCTGGAACATCAGAGGCGGTACACGTGCGTTACTGGCCTTTTGGGGATCAGGAGTTTGAGGATCGTTGGGGATTCAGGAATTGGGGAGATTGGGGAAGGAGAGGGTAATTGGGCCTCCGGTAACCTCACTCACACGACGAAACACAACGCAAGCGTTGCTTCACGTCAGTTTTCTGTGAGGCCGTGGTATCACTCCGGTCGAGCCGGCCGTGCCGAAGCATGGCTCTCCCACACTTAAAATATTACTAGCAATTATTTGACGAGGCTTGAAACTCCTCGAGTTCCTCGTCAAATAATTTACGTGAACATAATAATTAATTAAGTATGTCTCACGAAATAATATAAATACTTAATCCACATTAAGTATTTGTTATATTTTCAGCTTTAGGGGAAACTGAAACTAGACAGTCACTGTTATCCCGATTCCTGGCTGCGTTCTTTGAAAGGGTATGTTGTTATATAAATCAAATATTACTAGCAACAATAAAAATAAAAACGAAAATTATTTGATTGATGAATTACTTGATTTTGTGTTCTTCTAGGCTCTGGACGGTCTCAGCTGGGTTGCCAGTGAACGCACTGTATTTGAACGTTTACTGAACGTGGAACTGAATACGAGAGAAGCTGGCAACACTAGTACTCTGCTTTACGACCCAGATGAGAGCACACCTTCGTGTTTTGCTGTAACTTGGTTAGCACAACCCGTAAAGCTGATAGTTATTTCGTTTCAATACTAAATATCACTCGTGACCGAACAGCATAGGATTTCACAACGCCATCTTTTGACTTATTGTTGAACTTCTTGCAGACTGCAGACTTGACTAGACGCTAGTACAGATATTTTCATGTAGTTGGGCTATCTCTTCAGTCAAAGACAAAATAATTTCCTTATCTGATTTTGAAGGTGGGGAGAAGAATGGTCCCTGGCAACGTTTGAGGCTATGCTCTTCGGCAGCCTGATGATGGCGACAAACGAGCCTTTGATAGCCGCTCTGGTCACTCTTATAGTGTGGCAGGTGAGTGCATTTGTATCTCATTGCATTTTGATTCAATCGTGTGTGCCGAGAGTAGACTACCCTTCTCGTGGTTGTCGTGAGAGCCAACCAAAGGATATTTGACGGTGACCAGTGGCATTAAGTGCCGTAAATGTGCCCCTCTGCCTAACCCTTCGGGGAAAAAGGAGTGATGTTACGTTATCAGGTAATCGCTCTCTTATATACTAAAGTTTGCCAATCTAATGTGTGCCAAACATGGAAATTATTGTGAACCGTATTATGCAGAAAGGATTGTTATACCATAGTTCAGCATGGCACAGTCACGTGCTTGATGCGATTAGATACAAAATTAAATTACCTTGGAAGGCACCAACTATTGTTTCACATTTTCAGCTATTATCTGTCTAGCAGTGATTTGTTACATACAACATCGCAATCAATCTACGATTAACCATGCTGCCGTATATTATTGGTTTTACGTTCTTACGTATCTTTTGGAACCGAGAATGGTCATCTCCAAATTGGTATTTTAATTCAAAAATATTTGCAAAATATTATCAAATCTGAGCGAAATGAAATTTTTATTTGGTTCACAGGTAATGATGCGACTACGGAGAGGATTTGGAAATAGGAATCAGCGAGAAAAAACTGATATCCAAATGTAATAAGACACAAGGAACCTGTCCTGCTAAGATGCGCTCACAATCTTTAGTTATACTTTTCTGGGCAATATTCTGCGGTGAAGTAGTCGTCCCACGGAAAATAAGAAGATCTCGTGAAAGCGCCAGTGATAGTGACAGTGATAGCGATAGTGACAGCGACAGTGATAGTGACTGTGATAGTGATAGTGAAAGTAGTGACGACATAAGTGATATACACGACAATCAACATGGAATGTCAATTAATGTGGCCTATAGCACTGCTCCACCTCCCACGCATAAACGTCATAAACGAACCAAATACGTGAAGTTCATAACTCTTCCTCCGCCTGTCCCGATATTCACGACGGCCCCTCCTGACTCTACGCTACCACGAGGACCTTACTTCGGCTTTCTAAGGAATATTTGTAATGCACTGCTCTCCCCTAAGTTTAACGTTAAATACCTCGGAAATTATTATCATATACTCGGCAAAAGTCTCAGAGGATTCGGCATTAATTTTATACAAAAATTATGGATAAGAAGATTCCGAAGAAAACTGGAAAAATACTCTATTTATAACAGAAGGACTCTGAAATCGAAAGCACAGGCATTTCTGGACTTCATATCTGATGAAAAACCTAAAAAGATTGCATACTTCGAGGCCATGGATGCTATTTATACAATAGACGATGATAGGAAAATGGATGATTATGTATATTTACTCAAAAATTATGGGAAAGGAGTTATTAGACACATAAAAGATAAAACAAGACGCATATTCGAGCGTATTATTTTCGGCAGATTTGACCGACTAGATAAAGGCGTCCAAGGAAAAATCGAACTAAAATTTAAATCAGCTTTAGTCGAATACTGGGAGAACAGACTTAATAGGACATCTAATTATAATTCCACACTGGGCCATCTGTTTAATTTCACATTCAATCTACCGCGAAATTGATTTAGTCTTTCTACATCACTAATGTGAGTTTGTCATATTTCCATGATTAGTAGACAAGCGAGCCACCGGTACGGTGTAACCATGCGCTCGTTGTATTCAAATATTATTTTCCTCGCGTATTCTATCAATATAGGCACTGCAATTAGTATTCGAGGTATAGTTGATACCAAGAACGCCAATAATCCACTGCTGAGACTGGCATCTTGGAACGTAGATCCCAAAGTCAAGAGTGAAGGAATTTTCGAGAGGTTTGTAAGGAATTATCTCGACATGATGTCAACAGCGTTGACTGGTAGACAGGTCATAAGATTTTGCAGGATGATGAGTAAAGAACTGAGTCGATTGAATTTCTCATACACAAACAAATTAGCGAAACATTTTAGATATTTGTCGAGAATGTATCGCGACGATGTTACACAACAAATGGAGGAATATAGAAAAGAATACGACGAAAAGTTACCGAAACGTCAAATTTTCATGGAGGCCATGAACGATATATTCACATTGCAGCATAACTTGAAGTTCGATGACTACATACAACTTATGGTGGACCTCGGCAACGAACATACTAATATACCATTAGTACAAGTTCAAACTAAGAAACTTCTGGAAATGATAGTGGATTGCGTTCACAAATTGAGTAAAAAGGAGCAAAGATTGTTAGAAAAGAAATTAGCCCTGGCCATTAAAGAATATAATTATTGAATAAGTTATCCGGATATCTACATAATGTATCTACCTATTTATGTGACCCTCGTCGTAAGTCATAATTATTCCTGCGAAAAGGCGGTCCATTTACCGCCTTTTCGCAGGAATAATTATGCGGTACTTTTATTTTGTACTATAATTTACTGTATGATGTAGGTATGTGTTGTAAATTAATAAATAAATAAGTTAATTTAAAGTACTATTCTTTATCCCGTTGGTCGATAGGCCGTAATGCAAGTGGTACTGCCGATTCGGCATGCCTATACCTAAATGAAATGGCCCTTCAAAGTGAAGTTAATGCTTTACTATGCATTGGCGGAATCTTACATCCAGTATGGCCTTAGTAGCTATGGTCGAACTTATAAAACATATCTTGACAATATTTACAAAATTCAACTTCAAATTTAAAAAAAACTACTTAGTTTCACCCACAATTAAAAACAAATTTTACGATAATATAGATGGCCTTTTTAAGCATTGTAATGTCTTACCAGTTAATACTAAATTCAAGTTTAAATTCAACTTCAAATTTTAAAAAAACTAGTTTCACCCACAATTAAAAACAAATTTTAAGATAATATAGATGGCCTTTTTAAGCATTGTAATGTCTTACCAGTTAATACACAATTCAAGTTTTTAATATTAAAAGAACAATTTTTCAACAAAAATTTGAGAAACAAAATCGAACACCTGTATGCACTCGGGCAATTTCTGAGAATAAGCTTCATACTCAGCGCGCCAACAACACCTATGGCGAACGAACTACCGCTTACATTGTACCCAGACTCATTAATAGCATACCCTCAGAAATAAAAAATAATATTACGCAAAAGAACATAAAATGTAAACTAAAGCAATATTACATAAGTGTCATTTAGGAAAGTGTTTGTTTATCCAAGGTTGTTTATATTGTTGTCGTTAACGTATATATTTGTAAAACCTCATTTTATAAAAATTCGATTTCGAGATTGATTTATGATAGCATAAGTTTAAACCTTAGTGGATTTTGGTTGCTATTTTAAATGAATAATCCTGTAATTATTGTAAATACGATAAATAAATAAAAAAAACTCAGTATTAAATATCTCAGTAATAAATAGCATAGGATTTGACTTCGGTGTGCCTGACGCATTAGGCTCATTCTCCATGATGGAATAATGGGTTTCATAACATAACTGGGAAAAATGGTACTCTATTATTTATGTTATGTATCGTTAAAATTGCTTTACCAATAATAACAGCACATTTTCGTCGTAGTCACCGCATTGTAATGGTTACATTTAAGAGAAATTATTAGACGTTCCAAGTGAATTACTTACAACATAAACTAATAAAGTCATATTTATTTATAGTAAGATCATAATTATTACTTTACCTACGTGAATAATAATAAGAAACTCCCAGTACATTACCTATATCTAAGTTATCTAAATTATCTAGGTCTTGTATGTATTAAAATACACTTATCGTCCGCGTCGTCATAAAAACCGTAACTTTTTGGTTTTTTTATAAAACCGTTAATACCCGAATGTAAACGAGAACAGACTTTTTTGCCATAAACAAGTATCAATACTCTGGCAACACTCCGTTCAGCGACGAACAAATGAAATACGGCAACGTCACGCACGTATTGAAGTTGGTAGAGTGATTGTTCATTCGGCGTTCTGAAAAACTAGTAAATTTACAAATTGTAATTTATATTTTATATTAAAAATGGCAGATAGTAAAGGGTAAGTATATAATTACTTTTAATTTAAATGCACAACATAATTGGATGTATTGTTTTACAATAAATCGATGAGCTACTCGGCAAATGATTCTTCAAAAATTGGCTTGTCATCATGTCTGAGTTACAAACCGACTCATAGAAATCGAATTTTGCAAGTTCACCATAGAACAAAATTTTGTTTTATGGGAAAAGCTTATTAATTTTGATGTTTGAAGTTGACGATAGCGTTTGTGCTGAGAACTCTTACTATGTGAAGGGTTTGGTTATAGTAAGTGACGATTGATATTTTTTCTTGTTCGGCAGTAATCCTGATGATTTATCGACCGCGATCCTGCGCCGCAAGGACAGGCCCAACCGTCTCATCGTGGAGGAGGCGGTCAGCGATGACAACTCTGTGGTGGCGTTATCACAGGTCTGAGCCCTTTGTCTTACCGAGCGGCGTTACGTTCGACATAGTTTCCATTGCACTATGGTCACTATCAAAATGCTTTGTCACCTACATTAGTATTTGCATGGCAATAAACTACTGTTTCTCTTAGTTACCCATAGTTAGATAGCATGTTTGCATTCATATACATAATAATTATGTCAAGTACAATGATGTAGTAATTTTGGTGGTGGAGTGTCAACACAAATGCTCACACTCCCCCAAACATCATAACACAACCAATTAAACATTTTGATTATCATCATTTCATACATTATAAAAAGTCTACCAAAAATACCTAATATGATAATCAGTTTGGCAAATGTCATTTACTAACAGTTTATTGACCTTTTTGTCTATTAAGTTGGTACTTTGTGAATAATCAAATCAATTAATACTTCCTCTACATAATTGTCTAATAGTTTCTGTTATGAAATGTTTTACAATAAGATAAATAGTCCTTGACAAAAAAAGGTTTATTGACTAAAAGTGACATGCCATTCTCCTAAACTGATGTATCTTGTGTGTTATTGTTTACTCCATAACAACAAACAAAGAGATGAGTTTAGCTAATTAACTTAGTACTCTTAATACAAAACAATTGTAGCTTTCATCTTTATAAAGCCTTCTACTTTGATAGGTACTAATAATCACTACATATGATTTTCTTAAGTGACAGAATGAAGAAAATCAAATGCAATATACAAAAATTTAGTTTAAAATGTTGTTTTAGCAAAACTGACAATTTATACATAAACTTATGTACTTGTTTACCTTAAAACCTATCAATAATTCACGCATGTCATGTAAAACATAACTAGCCAAACATTGGTTTTGTTACACTGTATATATGTATGTATCTCTGCCTCCCCTTCAGGGATTAAAATCCATGATATTAACAAGTACATAGAACTACTATCTTTGTAAAAACTTTGAACACAAATGGGGATATAGCATTTACTAAGCTAACTCATTTGTATGAAAATAATTGCCAATTATCTCATTTTGAGATTGTGAAATAGGTACCTAGTTAACCAGTATTTGGAATTCTAATATATTGAGAACTTAGGTTGGGCTTCACAATATTTGGTAGAATCAAATACATACAATTTTGAAAATATAATTTTCATGTTTGTTATACATGGAATTCAGTTTCTTGATCACATAACAATGTACTAGAAGGGCCAGTTAGCCACATGTTTTTATAAGTTTCTAAAATAGCATAGTTCCTGGCACTAGTCATTTTAGACAGGTTACTTTCTAGATTGATTTAAAATTACTACCAAAATGTTCTTTTTTCCTAAAACATAATTTTAATTATAATGCTGACTCATGAGTTTCATAATGTTGCACAATCATTGTTTAGATTTTTCTATTATTTGTTATTTTCTAACTCTCTTCTGTTTCATTCATAAATTCCAATCTTTAAAGGGTTTTCTTTAATTAATTAAAATAATGTTTTATACTACATAATGTGACAGTATTTTTTTTTCCATCAAAACTGAACATATTAAATTAAAAAAACAATGTTACTGAAATAAACAAGCAAAAAGCTTAAGTACTTGGAAACCAATGTCAAACCAGACAAGTATTTTAGCTGCAAGTTTTCCTTGTATTTATATTTTACTACAAAGAAACTTCTAACATCTTATTTACCATCAACAATAAAAGCCTATAACAGTCCCCTGCTAAATTATATGAAGAGGGTTTATTATAATCTCAATATTTGGCTGGCAACATAAAAAATTAAAAATTTAAATGTTTATTTTCATTACATTGTTTTTGTCAAAGCTTCACAATACATTTATGTATGGCCTTGTGGACCCACACACTAGGATTCCCTGTGTCGTGAGGTCCAGTGTCTTATTAAATAAAAAAAATCTTGTGGGATCACTGATGTGTTATTTTAAATCTCGCATACAAATATTACAATTTTACATCATTAATCAAACAAAAAATACTCAACCTACACCAATCTTTGTTCACAGGCAAAAATGGAGCAGCTGCAACTGTTCCGCGGAGACACAGTTCTCCTGAAGGGCAAGCGTCGCAAGGAGACAGTCTGCATTGTCCTCTCAGATGACAACTGTCCTGATGAGAAGATCCGCATGAATCGCGTTGTACGCAACAACTTGCGCGTACGTCTGTCTGATGTGGTGTCCATCGCGCCGTGCCCGTCCGTTAAGTACGGGAAACGCGTCCACATATTGCCCATTGATGACTCTGTTGAGGGCTTGACTGGGTAAGTTTCTGTTTTTGATCATAAGTTTTCATGAATTTTCTCTATAAGTTGCTATGTATGTGCATTTTTGTATTGTCATACTTTCAAAAGTTTAATTTCTACACTCAATTGTTTAACCACAGTTAATTTTTTTTCTTTCTCAACACCAACATGTTTTATACAATTTTCTAACTTAAAATTGTTTGTCACAGAAACTTATTCGAGGTGTACCTGAAGCCTTATTTCATGGAAGCCTACCGGCCAATCCACCGTGACGACACGTTCATGGTGCGCGGAGGTATGCGCGCTGTAGAGTTCAAGGTCGTGGAGACTGACCCCTCGCCCTACTGCATCGTGGCTCCTGACACCGTCATCCATTGTGAGGGAGACCCCATCAAACGTGAGGTGAGTTATCATTTCTTGTAGTTCATTGGTAGTTTTTCAAACTATGAAAAGCTTTATTTGCGTCAAATTTGCTTTCCTTGTAGAACTAAAATGTTAAATTCATAACATACATACAAACTTACTCATGAATCAAACTTAAATTTATATAAAAACAACTATCAAGCATATTTGATTATTGAAGCTGAGTAAAAAAAATAGTGAAAAATAAAACAAACAATTTATTATAACTATTCAGACAACACTATTATGTATTTTTAAAGTTATATAGGTACAGTATAAAAAAAAATCTCACAAACAAGTACATAACGTGGCCTTATCAGTGGCTAACACGGGTGTACAATCTCAGTATTGTTTGATACTGAGACTAGTTGACAGTTTATACTTACAATGGAAATGACTTTAACATTTTAGGTTTTAACTAACTGATAATAACAAAATACCAAGCGTTTCGGCTATGTAAACAAGCTTGGAACTATTTTGTAGATGGAATTTACTTGCCAAGTTAATTCTTATTGTTTTAGTATTCTAAATAGTTTAAAAACAGATATGAAATTCTATGTCTAGAAATCTTCATTGTTAGCGTGAAATACAGAACTTATGTGTTCAGAGACATTGTTATTTTTCGTGTAAAATGGATCCATTTGCTAGTTTGATATAAATGCTTTGACTACAACTATTCCATTTATTTATAAACAGGAGGAAGAGGAAGCTTTGAATGCTGTCGGTTACGACGACATTGGTGGCTGCCGTAAGCAGCTGGCTCAGATCAAGGAGATGGTGGAGCTGCCTCTGCGCCACCCATCTCTGTTTAAGGCCATCGGTGTGAAGCCCCCGCGCGGTATACTCATGTACGGGCCTCCCGGTACCGGTAAAACACTCATCGCCCGTGCTGTGGCTAATGAAACTGGTGAGTTTATTACTTTTTAATTAAAACTGGTCTGTTTTGATTACTAAATTAACTGCAATGTGATTAACTTTTGATTCTAAATTAATTTTGACTAACATCAGGCATTCAAAGTACATATTCCAAAGAAAGTTACTAAGAGTCATTTATTATAGCCAATATAATCAAGACTTCATGTTCTTTTGATTAGTTTTGATGTCGTACACCTTTCTTATCCAATATCTAATTGAAATAAATCAATAATACTAGCTAAATCTACTATAAACTAAAGATGTATATAACTGCATCATTTACAACAAAATATCTGATATTGTCCATCAGGTGCCTTCTTCTTCTTGATCAACGGACCGGAGATCATGTCCAAACTGGCTGGTGAATCCGAGTCGAACTTGCGTAAGGCATTCGAGGAGGCTGACAAGAACTCTCCGGCAATCATCTTCATTGATGAACTGGATGCTATTGCACCCAAGAGGGAGAAGACTCACGGAGAGGTGGAGCGTAGGATTGTGTCCCAACTGCTGACACTTATGGATGGTAAGTTTAACCCGTTGAAATCCACCCCCTAAATTTGGTCATACAAAAGTAGTCTCTAAACATTACAAATAAGGTCTATAATGTAATGTAATATTAGTGGAAAGCGGTCACCGGTGACCGCTTGGTAATTTATGGGTTAATACTTATTTACTTAATATTTCGAACTATTAATGCTAAGTTTTAAAATTTTTGGAATGTTAAAAATCGTTATCACGCCATCATATTGTGTCGTTATCATTTTACGTCAATGGGCATGTTAATACATTTCCAAGTGTTAAATGGAAATTAATTAATGATTGTATCATTATCTTTTGATCCTCTGGTTATTATTAGAGAAATTAATAAGCATCTAATTTAGACTTGGGCTCTAAACTTAACTTTAAAAAGATACATTTAAGAATAGATTTAGAAATTAAAAACTATTAACTGCAAAATCATTCTAATGTTGATGCTTAAGGTTATAAAGTTGTTATTATATTAGTCATTCATCCAAAAATGTTTCTTTAGGTATGAAGAAGTCATCCCACGTCATCGTAATGGCGGCCACAAACCGTCCGAACTCGATCGACCCTGCATTGCGTCGTTTCGGTCGCTTCGACCGTGAGATCGACATCGGTATTCCTGACGCTACCGGCAGGTTGGAGATCTTGCGTATCCACACCAAGAACATGAAGCTTGGCGATGACGTCGACTTGGAACAGGTGAGGATTAACCCGTCCAGTGTCTAATGCACGGGACCTGTGCATTACCGAAGATTTACCTTCAACACTTTCTAGTTACTGTGACCAAATAATTAATAACATAATTGAATAATGTTCAGAACAGTAGGTATAGTTCATTCTAATAAGATATTAAAAAATACATACATCATTCTAAAACAACACACATTGTTTCTATAGATCGCAGCAGAATCTCACGGTCACGTGGGCGCTGACTTGGCGTCTCTGTGCTCGGAGGCAGCTCTCCAACAGATCCGTGAGAAGATGGACCTCATCGATCTCGAGGACGACCAGATTGACGCCGAGGTTCTCAACTCCCTCGCCGTCTCCATGGACAACTTCCGGGTAAGTTTTCTCAATATCAATTGCTGTTAGAAAAAAACTCATTTCGTTGCTATTAGTGATGAATACTGATGAGCTGACTAAAAAGATTGAATCTTGTCGGCCAATGCGGCGATGGATAGCATTTTGGTATTGTTTATGGTCCATGATCTCTGGTGTCACTCTGAAATCTTCTTAACTTTTTACACATGAAGGAATTTTTATATTACAATTTACACTTAGTCGTAAAATGTAGCAAATAAACGTCCTGTGTCACAAATGAATTGCAAATAATGCAAGAAACTACAACATACTATTTGTATTATTCAGTATGCGATGACCAAATCATCGCCGTCGGCTCTGCGCGAGACTGTGGTGGAGGTGCCGAATGTGACGTGGGGAGATATTGGAGGTCTCCAGAACGTCAAGCGCGAGCTGCAGGAGTTGGTCCAGTACCCGGTGGAGCACCCCGACAAGTTCCTCAAGTTCGGCATGCAGCCTTCAAGGGGTGTGCTCTTCTATGGACCACCTGGTTGTGGTAAGTTGAGTTTTTATTTATACTTCTGTTTCTAAACTGTACTTAAAACTTCTATTACTTTTTTGCTATGGAAGAATGTGCAATAAACAATATAAGACTTTATATTATGTTGTTGTGAGACATACTAAATTTAACGTCGTCAAATGTTACGTGAGTAAGCCGAAAACATAAAAATTAATATAAGATTTCGTATATGTATTGATAAAAAAAATTTACACGTCGGCAATTAGCTACCAATCATCAAGGTTCACTTCTCATCCAGTTGTTAAACTACAAAACAAAATTTAATATTGTACTCAAGTATAATTTTGTCTGAAAACAGGTAAGACTCTGTTGGCCAAGGCTATCGCCAACGAGTGCCAGGCCAACTTCATCTCTGTCAAGGGCCCTGAACTGCTCACCATGTGGTTCGGTGAATCCGAGGCTAACGTGCGAGACATCTTCGACAAGGTATGTCATGCCATGTGATAGGTTTCGTATTGTTCGACCCAAATCTTATCTTCTATTTCTTAGACCATAATTTATTTTGTTGACTGGGCCCTTTTGTAAATGCAGACTTACTAGTGTAGCTCTATTTGGGATCTGAAGAACCTATTTGTAGATATAGAATTCTTGTGTAAGTTCTATCTCTAGTAAGCAAATTTACAGATAAATAGGGTATTCAAACTGGTCGTAAAAAAGACATTACAAGAAAGACATTAATGTCGATAAATTCCCAAATTTCCTAACATTTGTTTGTATATAATAGGCCCGATCAGCGTCTCCCTGTGTTCTATTCTTCGACGAGCTGGACTCGATCGCCAAGTCTCGTGGAGGCTCAGTGTCGGATGCAGGCGGCGCGGCCGACCGTGTCATCAACCAGATCCTGACTGAGATGGACGGTATGGGCGCTAAGAAGAACGTCTTCATCATTGGTGAGTCACTGAACTTATTTTAAGATTGTATTGTAAAGAAGTAGTGAAACAAGCCCTAAGTATTACATTGTGCCTTTATAGCCTTCTAAAATACATTACAATATTTTATAAACTTGATTAGATTTTACAAATTAACATGACAGTATATCATTAGATTTACACAAATCTTTGTGTAATATTTATGTCATATTTATAGGCAGACAAAAACTTAAACAAATATACCTGTTTTGCATGTTAGGCGCGACAAACCGTCCGGATATCATCGACCCGGCCATCCTTCGACCGGGTCGTCTGGACCAGCTGATCTACATCCCACTGCCCGACGAGAAGTCGCGTGAGGCCATCCTCCGCGCCAACCTGCGCAAGTCGCCCATCGCCAAGGATGTCGATCTCTCATACATCGCTAAGGTAACATTTTCATAAATACTGAACAAAAATTAAACTAATTGTGTTAAATGAAGACAATAAGGTGCTTTATTGATTTGATCAGACCAGTCAGTGATAAAACTACCTAATCAATTATTTTTCCAATTATATACTGTCACTGAGCAAATACGTTATTTTATATGACACAAACTGTATTGTTGATAATACCTGATTGTTGTTGAACATAGAATGCATAATGATCACATAATAAATTACTATCATTCATTGTGTGCGTCATCTATCGTAATAAAACACGAAACATTGGTATTTGCAGGTGACACAAGGGTTCAGTGGTGCTGACCTGACAGAGATCTGCCAGCGCGCGTGCAAGTTGGCCATCCGACAGGCCATCGAGGCTGAGATCCAACGCGAGCGCACTCGTCAGCAACAGACTGCCGCCGCTGTCATGGATGTAAGTACTTCGATTTCATCTATTAGCTAAAAAAAGCTAATAAATAGATATCAGTCAAAAGTTATTTGATTGAAACGTCCTTATATTCTCAATGAATTGTTTAAATATAATGGTGTGTAAATGGTGTGTATAACTTTCCTTTATTTCCGTTCCCTTTTCCCCGTTTTTGTGTCCTATCTGTTAAACTGGTTTGTACTTGGGGACAAATCAACTTTATTCTAACTCTTTGTTTCAATAAATAGATGGACGAAGAGGACCCCGTACCTGAGATCAGCCGCGCTCACTTCGAGGAGGCCATGAAGTTCGCTCGCCGCTCCGTCTCAGACAACGACATCCGCAAGTACGAGATGTTCGCGCAGACGTTGCAGCAGAGCAGGGGATTCGGCACCAACTTCAGGTAATTATGATACAGTGCTCATTGTCCACAAGAGATCTTACTCCTGACTGTATTGCACATAGTTTTAGAGTCATCACTAAGTTTGAACTACATTTGGTTGATTTTACATTGAATTCTACATGAAGTGACTGTCTTCTGCCCTCCACAATCTGCTTAGTTGACTTGATTCTACGTTAAGAGTCACAGAGATTGTCGTTGTTACTCATAGCCATAGCCATGTAGTCATACTAAATTGAATAAACGTGCTGTGAACTGTAACATTGTTAATGACTACTGGAGTAGAGATTATGCTTGTGTTGTGGGAGTGGTGAGTACGAGTGGTTCTGCCGCAGGTTCCCCGCGAGCGGCGGCGCGGCGGGCGGCACGGGCACGTCGGGCGGCGACCAGCCGACGTTCCAGGAGGAGGGCGGCGACGACGACCTGTACAGCTAAGCGGCGCGCGCACCGACTGGCGCCGCAGGTCTCTACGACTGACCTTACTACTTAAGATTATCGGTTCACATAGCGAATGGGTGTTTCGGACTCGGGAAGCGACCGAATGGTTCCAACAGGCAGCCTCTCTCCGTTCGAGAGACTAAACATTATAAAGTCGGCGTGCGCGTCGTGGTCGGTTAAATTTCTACCAATCTGTGTCTAATAATAAATAATATGTAAATGTATTTATTTTATAATTGAATCATTCGATAGCATTTGTTTCTGTTCCGATTTGCTTATGTTTAGTTGTAATTGAATAAATAATGTTTGTGTATGTACCGCTCGCCCCAGCGGCGAGCTTGTAAGATCACCATATGATAGAGTAATTGTTAACTTTACTGTATTTGCCAGATCCTGTGCGTAGGCGGTGTCGGTGGGGATGCCTCGGCAACCACGCCGACTAAACACAATATTACAGTGATTTTTTTAATAAAAGATTTTTATAGACTAGAAATACGTTTTTATTTGTAAACATCATCCTCACACGTAAATAATTTTACAACATCGGCTATTTTTTAATTATCGCGGTGGGTAGTAGGATGTATTTTGGTGTCCTAATAATTATTTTATTTGAGAGTCTCGGCCTTATGAAGCATATTAAATGGTACCGCTCTGCAATCAGTTGTACGACCAAGGAGACGACTCAGTGGCCACAGCAAGAGCTGTGGCCTAACGAAATAAGACCAAAGACAAAAAACATCTGTGGTCATGTCCCGTGATAAGTGTACCCAGCGATGTTACATCGGCTTCGTTGCTAGATGTTGTGTACCTACGTTATCTATACATATAATAAAGCTGTAGAAGTTTAAATTCTGTACACTGAAAATATTAACAAAAATACAAACAGTAGAGGGTCTTACTGGATCGCCACCGAACCCAAAAATGTGATTTTATTGTCTGTATGTTCACGCATCACGCTGAAACTATTGATCCGATTACGATGAAACTTGGTAGAATTATACTTTAATATCATGGGCACAATACTGGATACTATTTATCCCGAAGAAGTACCTATATGCACGAAAAAACACTAATTGTGCGGCTCAATCCCTAGACACAGTTACTGTGTCGCGGAGAACCTAACGGGTAACCGGGGCTCCGGCTCGACGTGCAGGAGAAGGAACGGGGTGGTTTTTAGTCAGTAAGAGTCTGATACTCCCTTCCGCCTCACCCAGGCGGGAGCAGTCATTCGATGATTTTACCCCCTTATAAAAAAAAGACACAGTTACTGTATCAAATGCAAATACAAAGTTTGTCGTATGTTTGGTTGCCTGCAGTGGATTTTACACTGTAACTGTAGGGCCGATAGTTGAAATTACCTTGAACCGATATCGTAAATGTAAAAATATGCGAGTTTGTGTATGTTTGTTACTCAGTAACATCAAAACGGCTGAAGGGGCCGGGATGAAATTTGAAACAGTGATAGATTATGGTCTGGAGTAACGCATAGGCTACTTTGTACCCCTGGGGACGTGAAGCCGCGGGCAGAAGCTAAAAAAAACCGGCCAAGTGCGAGTCGGACTCGCGCACCGAGGGTTCCGTACAAACCTGCAAGGTTTACAAAGTTCGTTCATTACGACAATCGAGTCATAACTATGGTATTTTTATTGCAAAATGAAATTCATAACATTACAATGGGGAAAGATGGAGGAGCATAAATTTAAGACAAAGATCTCTTTATCGTTTAATGTTTACAATCACAATTTTTTTGGTGGTATAACTACTTAAAATTTTAAGCTTTTCGGAATTTTTCTGTTACCTGTGCTGTAAGCTATTGCTTCTTACCAAATTTCGAGATTCTATGTCAACGGGAAGTG